CCTGAGCTTGGACAGCAAGAGGCTAGTTCCACATCTTCTTGGTTCTTCAGATTTTTTTCCCATCTCCTCAGAAACAAAAACACACCTCTGAGCATTTTTATGTTCCATTACCCTTTCCCACTCATCTGCTTCTTGTATCACAGTTTTTTTCTCAAGCCTTTTTCGACACAGAAGGGTACAGTGCCATCCCCTGTGATTCTGTGAAGTTCAGATCTATCACAAGACAACAGAATGTGGGAAGTTTGCTGTAAATAGAAATGCATTGAGTTTATTGCTAGTGAATAACTCTGCAGTTGTAAAGTATTTGTCCCAAAACAACAACTAAGATTAGCTTTCACAGGAGGAAAGAACAGTGACTCACCAATGAAAGGCAAAAATAATAATCAAAGGCAACATTAGTAGCCCCGAAATGCAGCTTTCTCAACAAGTGAAGTTCTCTCCTGCTGGAAGAGAAGGATATAGCCTAACATACTTTAGCTCATTTGGAAGTAAAACTGTCTCCTAGTATGGACTGTACAGATTGTAGAAGAAAACACAATCTAAAAAATGTAGACTAGCTGAAAGGAGACAAGGAGGTGTGTGATGAGCTGAAGATGCTGAGCTCTGAAGTGATCCGCTCACTGTCACAGTTTCTCCTGACTCCTCAGTACTCTGATTCAAAAACTGAAAGAACTTTTCTGACAAAGAAACTGCAAAGAGAGGATCTATGTCCCATCAGCCCTGTGAACAGACAGCAGAGGTCTGTTACCAGCATGCCTCCTCCTGCAGACTTTTATGAAGTTTTTAGGTCTGGAGGCAAGCAAAAACCATTGTCTCATGCTAGAAAAATATAAGATAAAATAAAATAATAAAGTTGAAATATTATTCAGCTCCATCCTTTTCCCATCCTCCTCCTATATAGCACATGAAAGTAGATATCTGTTTTACTGGGGCAGGGCTAGTCAGCTCTTTTCATAAATGTTGAAACAAGATGAATTATTTCTGTCTCTGCAGCCATTACATGCATTCTCCATAAGCAGCTCCTTACAGTGATCAAAAAAGGCAAATGTCTGAGTTAGAAAGAACTAGAGGTGGAAAGTACAATACTCTTTTACTTACAGAAAGTCAATGGGATGCACAGGAGGAGACTCTACCTAAGAGTATGGTAGCTAAAGGAGCCCAGAGTTGAATGATGTGTCTATCAGTACCATAGTTTCTACTTCTGTTCTCATGTCATTTTATCCAGAATTTGTATGGGAAGCCATTGTCTCTCTTATGATCTGTAGTGTGCACCAGAGAACACAGATACGCTTCTGTTCCTACAGCAACTCATACATGAACACTCCCAAAGCATTGTGCTGTAAACTGGGTCCACATAATGTATGCACCAGAAATAATCTGTTTTGTCAAGAATTCTGTATGAGTTGTTGATCTTTTCTTATGTTGCAGGCTACAACTTTATTCTTACATGAATGATCAAATGAAAATATGAGGCTCTGTGTTCTGATTAATCTGCGAACCTTGAACCGAGATGTATATTTCCATCTTTTCCAATTACATCTGAGGCAAGAAATTCCTCCAAAACTATTTTACTTTCAAAATACATATAATTGCTACAGAATTTTGCCTCATTTGATAGATTGGTTGTTATTGTTAGCTTCCAGGAAATCATCTACATTTCTCATGACACAACACTTTTCCATGGTCCCGCTTTATTGAACATCACCATTTTATGTATCTGCCTGACTTCCACTTATCTGTCAGTACTGTTGTTCCTTGTCTCCCTTTGGAATCATAAAGAACTAGCTGCTACAACGTGCCCTCTATTTGTGATCAAGGACACTGGCTTCCAAAGAGGCAAACAGGTTTTCAAGAGCTGTAAACATATTATAGCTTTAAAGTGACTATTAAGTATCAGGAAAAAGAAAGGTCCGCTATCTTTTATGCCAAACTCTGCAAGGTCGCTATAATGAGCCCTTCTAACAGAGGAAAGCAGAGATAAGGAATTCATCACTGTCTTCTGGAAAAAATGACTAGAATGGCAGAACTGAAAGAGAAAAAGGCACAACACAATTTACATCAGGATTTTTGAAGATTCAGCCAGACATTCTCAGTCTTCCTTCTCATTTGTAGGATTGCTGGAAAGAGAAATAGGATTTCAGACCAAGAAAGAGAGTGAGCTGTTTTATTTATTTATTATCAGATATGGTAGACCAAGTACTGCCTGTAACTGAGGGTCTCAGTCCATTGAAAGACAGTATATGACTAGATATAGATATATAGACTAGAGACTATAATGTAGCTCTGCCTCTGCTCTCAGGGTCATGGCCACCACTGGAATGGGCTGAGGCAGAAAGTCTCTATCAGCTGAAAGCAGGAAGGAATGGGGAACAGAGACAAAATATGCCATAGGCATAAAAGAACAAAGTTTACAATGAAGGTGAATTGCATGTCATTAGGCCTCTCTCAGTAGTGAAGCTGCAGTTCCAGAGTGAAAAAATTGCAGTGAATTTGGGGAAGGCATGTGATCCTCCATGGAAGAGCTCTGATAGATACCTGAGCACATCCCTGCCTTACTGAGAAACAAGAGAGGTAGTTTAGACCATAAGCTACCACAGCTTACCAGCCATAGCTAAATCAATCTGCAATATTTAATAAATGAACTGATGCTGCAAACAAACAGACACTCCACTATACAAATCTGTGTGAGTAAAGTGATTCTTTTATCATTTTTGGATTGTAACAGATACTCCATGATAAAAATCCATGTGAGCAAAATGATTCTTTTATCATTTTTGGATTGTCATGACAGAGAAAGAAAAGGAAGTAAGCATCTTAACACTTCAGCAGAAAACATCAAGAACAACACCAACACAGAGCTGTGACCACACCAGAGTGTTCAGCCAGTGAAGTACACTTGTTTTTCCCTGGAAACAAAACACTTTCTGTTCAGATCAGCCACTGCATTACTCACATCTTTGGCCTCTCTGTGAACACCACAAATATATGTGTGAACTGTGGAGGTGGTTTGCATTCTGCATAATGCCAAGACTAACGTTTGTCTTCCCAGAAGCCAACCAGACCAAAATCTTGGAACTAAGGTTAATGCATGCATACTTGGAGACACCAGCTATGCACAAGCAGAATCTTTCTTATAGCACTGGGAAGAATATTTACATTTCTTTTCAGGTTCTGATCTGAAATATTTGCTTTCACTTAGAGTGGTGATATGTCTGATCTTAAACATTGCAGTTCATTTGAACTCTCGTGGTTTAGCTCTTCTGTTTTCAATACTGAAGGCAAGTTATTGTCAAAAAGCTGCATTTTGACTCAAGATTGTAAATATTCAAGTTCCCAGCAGCCATAAAAGGTTCTTCATCTGTGGCATGAAGTACAAATATGCTTGAGGCTTTCTGATAACTACCATACTTACGGATTGCTAAGATTCTGAACTTTAAAGTTATTAGTATTTTTATATTTGCAATAGTATCTATGTTGCCTTTTATCAGAATCAGCAATTTAAGCTTAAACATGCTCTACTGCCTTAAGAAATTTTTAAGATATTTAATGTAACGACAAAGTTAGTCATCCTATCCATTATATTTTACAAAAATCCATGTGGCCTTCCACAGGACTTCAAAAGTTTAATGGATGTTCTGACTTTTCAGACCAATACTATTTGACTACAGTAGCTTTAAGAACATTATATTTTTCAACAAATGCTTGAATTAATACCAATGACAGCAGAAAAAATGAGTAGAAATTTATGTCTAGCCAGCCTGTTTGGTCACAGCAATGATTCATTATTTTTCTTCTTTGTCCCCTTTCTGTTTAATACTTGACATTGGGGCAGAATATCTTTTCTCAGGAAAATTCTTTATGAGAAAAAAAAAAAAAAGGTGACTCTTCTTCTCTCACTCAGGAATTTCATGGATAAAATAGCTCAAGCAAAAGTTATAAGCCTAAGGAGTTGCACTACAGTTATTTTTCTACGTGGCATTGACTTTCTGTATTCTTATATAGGAGCAAATCCCAGCACCACCTTCTTTGTGTTTACCAGGCAAAGCAGAGGACAAAGAGGCCTCAGGATATTAATGTCACTTCCTTGCTTGCTTGCTTATAGGGCCTGGCTTGGAGCCAAGTCTTCATTCCCTAAGTCTACTGCAAATGGCAGGGAGGGAAGAAGTGTGAAACTCAGTGAGAAGCGTGTAGATCAGAGATTCCCTTCCTTTGCCCACCAGAGAAAATGTCAGTAAACAAGAGCGAAGCAGGTTGCTTACTTTCAGTTACTGAAGGAATTTAACTTCCTCTTGAGTTAGCTCCTTCTCCGCACTGAGTGCACCACATCCCAGTGAGCACAAAGAAGAAGGCCAGAATTACAAAGTGCAAGCAGAATAACTCCATAAGTCACTCCCTTTAGTTATTCATTTATTTTAGAGTAACATATTTGGGAAGGATTTTTTCAAGTGATATTTCCTTAGTCCTCATGTAATTGCAAAAATTAGCCTTTTAATTATTAAATATTAATAATTGTCATAAACTCAGTGGGTGGTAATTCCTATGCAGACATATGGCATGAAACATCTCCTGCTTCAGAGAAGTCAGTACAAAAGGAGCTGATTCTCCCACTGTGACTCATGCTGAAGCTCGTGGGACCACTCCTGCAGCCCTTCTGTTCACTTCAGTGCAAAGTGGAAGGCCGGGCCCAAAGCCAGCTGTTTTTTGTTGTTGCTGTTTTTTGTTTTGTTTTGTTTTGTTTTTTGTTTTTAATAAAATCAAGTCACAGATAAACAAAGACAGTGATTCATAAAGGTTGCTATGATACCTGAATCACACCAGCTCAGTGCCATGCAATCCCTGAATGTACGATAGGATTTCCTGCAGCTCTCAGGCAGGAACAATTCCAGCACTTACACTACAGAGAGCATAAAAACCCAGCCATCTAATTTTCTGGCCTCTGAAGGGTGCTCAGAACTGCAGCAGTAGCTTTGCCATATACCATGGATCGTATCACTACATACCTTAATCTGGAGGAAAAAGTAAGAACGAGGATCCCATTTCGCTTCTCTTTTCTTTCAGGGCAGAGCTGCAATAAATACCTCTCGATACAATGGCAATGCTGGCTAACTGCACTGCTTTAATGTCACTCAGGTTTTAGATTACACTGCTATCCCAGAGGGATGAATGGGGCATAAGGAAAACTAAATGGTATCTTTTTGTAGTCTAGCAAATGGATTGTGCTCCTTAACCCCTGGGGTCTACTTCCTGCAGCCCCAAAATATTAAAAAACATTATTTCTGGAAAAATTTCTATGGAGATTAATAGGTGGGTTATGAGCTTTCTGTAGAATGCTTAGAACAACCCAAAGAGTGCTACAACAGAGTTATAATTCTCAGCAAACCTATCAGCTGCTAAATTTCTGTGGAATCTTAATTGTTTCTTCCCTGTTCAACTCAATAATGCTCTTCCATGGAACAACTGAGCTTTTATTGCAGCCTACACAGATACAAGACATTTAATCTGTATTGTTTAAAAGAAGGCAAAATTGCTACATTTCTGTTCTGTTACTTACAAACGAGAAGTCACTACTCATAACTTCCAAGCTTGTGATACACAACAAAAATCAATTCATGCTAAACACAGCTTTAAAATATATATATATACATATTATAAGTTAGGTTGAATTAACAGCAAAATAAAAATACTGCAATATTCACAGAGAATTCTCCAATAAATATTAGCATTAGAAGAACACAGAGGGTAGATTTATGCTTGCCACAAGTTACTGCTTGCAATACAGCAACAGTAAAGATGAATTTAGCTCCTACTGATTAATGTTAAAAAAGTTATTATAAAAAGATCAGTTATTGTGAAGTTACTGTCTAAATACCCAGGAATGTTCTGTTCATCTTACATTCCATTAGCAACAAGAAAGAGAGAAGAAGCTGGCAGCGCTGTGCTGCCACTGGCAGCAGTGCCAAGGCTTCAGTTCAGGCCTCCTGTCCATAAGAGAACTGGGTATGTTGTGAAAAGAAGAACAGCAAGTTTTAAAAGCACATACCAGAAAGGTGCATGAGAGCACTCCTGATCTTCATGATACCAATCTGCACTTCTTCAGTGTCATGAAAACGTAATTCAGCCACTTGCCATCCAGACACAAGCACAACAGTTCATGTGAGCAGTTATTATGTGGTAGAAGTCTTCTCTGCTGAACAGTTCTTTCATTGTATATTTGTAATTAGAGGCAAGACACTTAAGGAGAGAAGTAAGACTTGGTCTCAGAAGGCTCTTCAGCATAACAACTCCTCTCAGGCTGCTCTGCCAATCAGACTAATGCATCTTAATATGTCCTAGGAAGACCTGCATCTTCTCATCTTAGGACACCCAATACATACTGAGGCCTCGTTTGGCAGCAATGATGAAGAATAGGGTGCTGATGAGTTGCCTGTGTAAGGTCAGTGCCAACCTCAGTCTGTTACATGCAATAGAAGTCCCTAGGCAACTTCCCAAGTGAAGTTCCAAAGGTGAAGAAGAACCTGGCAATGTAATTTTCTAAAAGTGTATGCTAAATACAGTGAAAGTACAGACATCAACATTTAAGCACCTAACAGACAAACTTAGGTGGCTTCTGAAGTGAATTTTAAACAAATAGCATCCTTGCCTCCTCTCATCTGCGTGTTAGGGGGAAGACCCCTTAGCATCCTGTGGTGTCCTATCTCTTTGCCTACCATCAGATTCAGTCAAAATCAGTCCACTGTCCTCTTTAGTTTCTTCTCTATTTCTTGTTCTACTTTTGAGTTTGTTTTGTTTGTGCTTTTGTTGTGCAAAATCATCACAACTGCTTTGCTTGAACTGATTCCTCTTGCTGTAGGCATGCTGCCTTTCTTTACCACAGTTCTAATTTGGCTGTTGTTTGGCTGTGACTGACACTCACAGAGGATTCTGTGCATGGAGCTCATGGCATTCCATGGCAGCAGAAATCTCTTGGCATGTTCTATTTCGGAAAAAAAAAAGTAAAAAATGCTTTTAAAAATGTATTTAACTACTACGGAAATAGCCTCCAAATATTGTGAAATACATGAACAATGTAAAGAAAAACACTGTCACTTCTGTTGTAGCACTAAAATAGCATAAACACAAGTGTGTAATTCAAATAGATATCATGTCTGAGCAAAGAAATAGCAAATGTGATTAGCATAGTGCAAGCCCCAGGAAAACAGGGCAGAATGAAGCCTAAAAGGATAAAATGAAGGTGGTATCTCGAGGAGAATCAGAAGAGCAGAGCATGGGTAGGGCTAACCCTTGGTTCATCAAGGAAGCAGCTCCAACTTCTGACTGAAAATCTATGGAGGGAAAGAAGCTGCACTGACCACTGCTCCCCATGTCAGATATCAACACCGGGCATGGAGCCCCATAGCATGCATGTTGTTCCTGGGCATCCTGCTTGTCTTCTGACCAAAGGCCAATCTGCCTCATGCAGAGATGCGGTCAGCTCTGTTGCTGTACCTGAGTCACTTCAGAGCTTCAATTCTCTCACAGATGAGGTGAAATTGCTGCAGATCTCCTTGCTAGCCATCTCATCCTGATCATATCACTGAAGCACTAATAGGAGGGAAATGCAGCTAGCAGTACATCCCAGTGTGACCACCAAGTGCCTACTGCAGAGGCTGTGAGGAAAAGTGATCACCTCCCTGAATCTTTTATGTCTATGAAACGAAAAATTATGCATGCTTAGCCCTGATCTCAGCTACATCTGTTTAATCCTGGAGGAACAGTTTAAATTCTGGAAATGGAATGCAAACTGTAAAAGGTCTGTAGCTGAAAATTTTAGTGTGGCTGCAGATTAAGGAAATAAAGCTACAGTAAAAATACTGTTTCATTTAGAGGAAATTTTGTGGGTCACAACCACTTATTTTTTATGCTTATAAACACCTCAGCAACAATACAAATGAATAAAGCAAACAAAGAAGAGAAGTTTATTCAAAATCATCTCTGGTGATTTTTATTACGCTTTTGGATTGAACTCTATTAAAAAAAAAAAAAAAATCTTGTATTTGTTGCCATAGCAATAGATTCCCAGGGTGAAATTATATCATACCTGCCTTTCTTCTAGCCTTCCGCAGTATGCAATCACCACCCACTGTCCTAAACATCAATAATCAGCAAGCCCACCCTTCCCACCCCCCAAGTGCTGGCCACACATTTCAGGGCGGGGGATGTCGCAGTTGTCATGCTGGCAGGTTCACAGAGCCAAGCGGGTCTGAGCATGCGGAGGATGTGCGGGGCATACTGACACCACATCCTCCGCTCAGGTCCCTCCACCTGGGGGTGCTCCTCCAGCTGCAACCCTAGGCCTATGCCTGAGCTCACTGCCCACAGACTGTACCGGGAACAGGCGCCAGCACAGGGCTGGCACTGCCAAAGCAACTACAGGTCTGGAACAGAAGCTTGATTTCCTGATGTTAAGCATTGCTGCATTAATTAATCCAGCATGACACCACGCCTTCAATTCATAGATCTTAAAAATCTGGCTCCTTTGCAGCAGTCTGGAGGGCCAGCAAGGTACACACAGCACATGGCACAACTGGGGGGTCATGATTTTTTTGAAACGTCCAGTCACCACTTGAGCACCCAGCTTCAAGTTTAGCTGAATGAGTACTTTCACAAATATGAATTCCTACATGATATTCTAACACTAAATCCCTCAAATCAAAGTGAGTGGTTAAATTAAACAGATAATTCACACTAAAAACTGGCCTTGTGGAATGATCCAGGTCACATTACTTGGGGGAGCATGACAGTTTATTGCACTGATTGACACTAGCCCAGGACAATTTTTGTATGTTTAACATTACTAAATGCTCTCTACTTCATCTGAAAAAGGAGCTAGTGCTGCTGTGGATTTACAGGAGGACAGACAGGTATCAGCTTCTTCCTCCTGCCTCCACCAGCACTGCTCCTTCTCTGGCCAGAGGACAAGCCTCCAGCCTGCTTAGATCTGAGGTCTCTCCTCCCCACAGTCAACATGCACTGGGCTTTCAGTAGTCATTCTCAATCTTCAGGACAAATTTCTTAGTGTGCCTGATCTTTTCTTCTGAACAACCTGATTACATTTTTCCCTTACTGGTCTGCTTATAAAATATTTATGTTTCCTATTTGTTGGCAGCTTTCTTGCAGAGCAAATTTTTTTAATAAACACAAAAGTTTCTGGTTGGTTGAGTAGAATACACTGCAAAACACCTGCAAAGTGTTATGTGTTAGGTCTCTCCAACAGCATATAGCTGTTGGAAAATCAAAACGAAAAAAGATGCACGACAGAACCCTTTACGTTTGTCTGTCAGTGAAATTAGCTACTAAATATGGTTTCAGGTACAAGAGAGCATTGTTAATGCATACCTTTATTAATCTAAGAACAGGATGGTTTGGTTGATAGCTCACTGACAATTTAGTAATTCCTTATGGACACAGCAGTACCTATTTAAGCAATAGGTATGTAAATAACGTATGATTATTGTAATTATAACTGAGGCATATTTCTACGCTGATGATATTTCTATGCTGGGAATGCTAAAGCTGCATTCTGATTTCTAACAGTGGACAAAACTAAGCTCCTCTTTATGTCATAAAGCCAGAAGACTTTGCATTTGAACAGAAACCCATTTATCTCAGCACATTAGCAAGAATATAAGGGCTTCATCCCCCAAGGCACTTCACTGCTCACCCAGCAGCATGGTTATAAGACTGCCAGCCCCTACCCAGAAGAGCAGTGGCCTTACTCTGACAGATTCAGTGCTCATGCACAGTTTGGCAGCCAGACTTCTGGATTTGCTTTGTAGAACCTGCAGATTCCCACAACAACTTTCTGATGTCATGAGAAACTGTGACAGTCACTGAGGAAAAAAAAATATATATATTATTTTCAGCACTGACTGTAAGAACACTGCTTGTCACACACGTTCTATTGCAGCTGAGGAGCCTCCAAGGTATTAGCAGTGGGAAAGCCCCTGCAAGACTGAGGATGTAAAAGCCTAATAAGACAATTGGGTATGTGGGCATGTAGCAGCTACCT